GAACAATTCGTTCAGGCCAGTCTCAACACCCTACACTGTAGGTTAATGGACTGAGACCTACAAGAAAACAACCACTACCCTCGCTAATACCACGAAGGGCGTTGGATTATATCTGACAGAAGTCAGTGCAGGATTCTCCACTGAAGTTATTCCAGCATATGTTGTTGGCGATATAACTGCAGCAATTGATTTTCAATCATTGGAACGCGTTTGCAGACCGGTTTCGGGCTGTTTGGCCACTCGTCAGTGCAAGGTAGTGTCTATCATCAACATAAAGTCGATGACTTTCCATAATTGAAAATCGAATTCTTTCAGAGTAGCATTCCTCGAACTAGGCTGAAACGAACGACAAACAACAAGTTTGTTATCACCCCATCTGCCACCTCATATCCGAAATTTGCCCAGTTCCTCGTTTAACAAAGAAAATTTCACAAATTGAGTAGGCATATTTGGAGACTGACTGTGAATTAATTTATCTAGAAGAAAAATTTGTTCACGCAAGTCTCAGTGTAGGTAATTTGAGACTGGCCTGAACGAATTGTTCCTTTAGATATTTTTTTTAAATCGATTCTTTGAAAGATGCTTCCCACATTTGTTGTATATAGATAGAGAAGTAGAAAGCTAAAACCTTCCTTTCCCAATAAATGAAAAAAATCATATGAAAATTGATAAATGTTGAAGTTTTTGTTAAACTCGAGAGAATTGTTATTCCACCGTCTCTTTTTAGGTTAGCTCTGAAGTACTCGTAATGCACCGTAGGAAACGTACCCATACTACGTGACTCGTTTAGGGGGGGGGAGCGGATTCCTTAAAATCCTACGGTGAGTCACAGGAGCGGGGGGTGACTCAGGGTTTTGTCACGTAGTAGACTGAGAGAAATCTCGTATTTTCGACCTATATTCGAATAAAGCACGCTGTGTTTATCGCTTTTTGAACTCACAGTTGGTGGCGCTGACGCACACATGCTAAGACGTCGACGTCAGCTGATTGAAAACAGACACTGTTTGTCAAACCAGACAGTTTGTAGTTCAGTGTTGTTATTTTTCATAAAATATATATTTCACTAGTAATTTAAGTATGTATGTAGTCTTACGCAATTAAAGACAAGTATGAGCCAGATTATTTTTTTTCACTTTTCGCCTAGGAAGTGATTGAAATTAATGATTATAAATTACTTCGTGAAAACTAAAGGGGGGAGAGGGGTCTTGAGACATACACTACGAGTGGTCACCGAAGGCGAGGGAGGGGTCCAAAAATCTAAAAAAATAGGTCACCTAGTATGGGTACGTTCCCTTATCTCCTTTGAAGGGTAAAGATAAACTGAATTCGATTAGTGTGTTTTATTTACATTGAAAAAATACATAATGTAATACACTGGTATTTTTTTGTAAAGTGAAAAACAGGTTTTTCCATTTCACAAACCGTGAGGCATCCTTAAAAACTAATTTTTCAATGAAATATTTCTTATCGTAAATGATATGGCAATTTGAAATACAATAAGGTATAACTTAAAATGCTCTTACCAAGTTTGGAAGAACGTCGATTATTTGAAAAAAAAATAGTCTATGACATTAAATCTGAAATTTGACACATTTAATGAGTAATTAGACCTGGCCAATACTTGATGAAAATCCATATTGAAAAACTAATTAATACAATTCTGTTGATTCAATAATTTTGCAATGATTATAGTATTGTTTTAATGCTGTGATGATAAATTTCCTTTTCTAAAATACCGTAAACAGCTCACTGGGGAACCCAATGTAGCGATGATGGGTCTTTTTTTAACTGGAAGTGTCTTTGAATAACTGTCTTTTCGTGTTGGTGTTAATTTGAACTCCAGCCTAGAAACTACCTATATCTAACTATACACATGTTGACTAGTTTCCGCTCTTCAGTGGTTGACGAAATCAACGCTACCTAACACTGACCCCCCAATCTTCCTTTATCATATCCGATGCTTTCTCCCCAATCATGATGGTTGGGGCGTTGGTATTGCCACTGACTATCGTTGGCATTATGGAAGCATCCACCACTCTCAAATTTCCTATTCCGTATACTCGGAGTCTTGCGTCCACAACAGCGTCTGGATCAGATGCCGGTCCCATTTTGCAGGTGGATGTTGGATGGTAGATGGTGAAAGTAAAATGTCGGATGGAGCATTCCCAGTATTCGTCAGTGTCGAAGGCGAATTGTCTGCAACCTGAGGAAAGAAGAATTTGCGAATATAACTCATTAGTCGTTCTAATCTGTTTTTACAGTAACAAAAGTATTTATTTTGTTGACTAATTCCCAAATGTATTATGATCTAGTGCAAAATTTATATATTTCGAAAGCCAAACAGACAAATCCTTTTCGTTATTTTATTCACTAATGTATGAAGGATAGATTATTTTTGAAAAGTGGAAAAAAATACCAAAAAATGTCAACAAAAACTGCATGTACAAGGAAATGCATATTTCGAAATCAAATCTCGAATTATTAATCTCTCCCAACAATGGTGTGACAACTATTTTTTCGATAGCTATTTTTTAATGACACACCTTCTATATTTCTGCATATTTCAACCTTTCCAATAATGTAGCTAGCACACTTGATGCTAGAATCATCTTCAAAATAAAGAGCTTTTATTTGGTTTTTCATGTAGACTAGCGCAAGGGTAGCCGTCATATTGAAATGGTGGTAATTCAAAACATTCGTACTGTTTTAATCAACAATGGCTGGGCAAGGAATATTATCTCTACAAACAAATAAATTATTGGAAAAAAACATTGATGGTGCTTCACTCGTTAATAATTCAGTTGAGGCTCATAATTGTGAACAATTAAAAAGGTGGTTAAAACGTCATGGGCGTCCGAAAAAAGGAAAAAAAGTGAGCTGATGAGAGGTTAGGTATCAGCATTTGTTTACTATCTAAAAACATATAAAAAAAATAGTATTTACAGTTTTATTCTTATTAATAATGTCGATTTATTTGATGTAATTGAAAATATATTTCAGTTGACAAGAGTATTACTTATGGAACTAATAAATAAATCAAGCCATTAATATTTCCATTGAGTCCACAGTTTGTCAACAGCTTAAAACTNCAATGTAACTTTTTGTCTTATTATTTGTTTACCATTTAAAAATTTATTTCTGTTTCATACTAAACAAAAAAATGTCTTCTGGGTTTTTTGCCTGTGAGGAATGAGGCAGGCGAAATAGTTCATAAAGAAACCATCACCCAGATTCACAGAAGACCTGCTAAACCACAACCGTAAGGTTATAAGGGTAGTGGGGGGTCTTCTAACGGGGCATATCCGACTCAGGAAACATATGACCAACATGGGTCTGACAGAAGAAACCCAATGCAGGTTCTGTCAAGAAGAGAAAGAAACCGCACTGCATGTGCTCTGTGAATGCGAAGCGATAGCAAGGCTGGGACACGCAAGCTGCGGGAAAGAGAAACCAGAGGCTGCCAGCTACATGAAGCTGGCTATATGGAGCGTATGGACTCTCATCAAAGAGATCAAGCTAAGCAATGAGCTCTAACAACCAAGGAGCATCACAATAGATCTGAAAAGGTCGCAGTGAATCAGGCCATGGGCCAGCTCCCCGACAATTTAATCTAATATACGTGAGAAAGTTATCGAAGTATTGAAAAGGTGGTAGTCGGTTGGCGAGTGGTCTGGGGATTATGGTGGGTCTGGCAGAACTTCGACGCTCAATTCCTTCTATTTTTCGACGGTGATTTCTTAAACGGGCAAACAGGAGCAGGATTGAACACCTTCTGTTGAAAAGTGCTGACTGCTGCTAATGTTATTTTCGGTACATTTCGTCTAATTCCTCACTATAGGACTCTGCTGTGAAGCTTTGGAACGGTTAAAGGAAGTTATAGAGAATTACACCAGCCACTGACCACCATGCAGTATCCATACGGTGTCCAACCACTGTCCCGTTTTGAAGGATCCACTTTTCATCGGACGTGGCGATCCGATTCAAAGAAGGATCGTTTTGGTTACGCAAGAACAGACCTCAAAACGTGATAATTTTTGGAGATCGTTGAAATTGTGGGGTACCACTTTTTGAGCTTTTTGACATTTCCAATACATTTCAAATCATGAAAACCCGCATGGGAACTGACGCCCAGTACTTTTGCCGTTCCACGCACCATTTGTGATGAGTCAGTCTCCACAGGAGTTCTGTAGGTCGGCAGCTTCGGGGCTTATCTTCGAGGCTAAAATCTCCGGAATGGAATTTCGCAAACCAACCTGGAACAGTGCGTTCATTAACCCTGCGTCCGACATGTGGACTTTTGTAACATTTGTCGACACGTGGGGTGTATGATTTTTCTATGAAAATTAACATTTTTTGCATTTCAACATAGTTGTTATGAGAAATCTATTCTGTAATATATCTTTTTGCAATAAAATAATTTTCGATTTACCGAAACGAGCAATAAATCGTTATATTCCGTCTTTACCAGAACAAAGGGTTCTTTCTTCGGAAAAAAATACAGATTTACTCGAATAAGTTTTTTGCACGTAAAACGAATAAATAAATATCAAATTGCTGGTTTGAACAGATAATAAACATCATAAAATAGAAATAAAAAAAAAATATTATAGAAAATCAGGTCATCAACATTCTCCATTTCTACGCAAGATTTGCAATACATTTCTGCATGGTCCAGACATTTGAATTTATTGCATTTGATACAAATGTATTTTGTCTTTCAATCACGGGCACGAGGGCAATCTTGACACCTTCCTTGGCCATTTTGTTTGAGTCTTTTGGATGAAGGTTCCACAGTTTCGCCTCTGATCTTGCAGATGACAGTCCGTATTTCTCGAGGGGTCCACTCGTTTTGCGCTCTTATCTTTCGATACTCATTTATCAAATCCATTCCCAGTTGAATCAGGAATTCACTTCTTTTCACTATTTTGCCAGCATTATTTTATCTATGGAGAACCTGCGAGTTTATGCCGGCAGTATTCATCAATGAAAAAA